CCCATAATACAAGTTCATGCTAGTCAATGTCCCCTTTTCCACCATACCTAACCAAATGCTCACAGGCAAACACCATCCAAGAGAGACCGCTGCCATCAGGCATGTTTACTGCAAAATCAATTAAACCAGAAGAGGTTTTGCATTTATGGGAACCAGAAATGCAAAAATAATCATAAACACCAATCAAAGAATATATCATTAACAGCCAATGTGATATAGTGGAAAGTGTGTGCAACTAGGACACAGAAGATCTAGGTGTGTGTGTGTGTGTGTGTGTGTGTGTGTGTGTGTGTGTGTGTGTGTGTGTGAGAGAGAGAGAGAGAGAGAGAGAGAGAGAGAGAGAGAATTTAAACCTTGAATATCTCACATGCCTTGGAAATCCTGAGTTTCTATAAGTTGGAAAGAACAATGTCAACCCTCACAAGGCAGTACAATCTAAACTCCTGATAACTGTTTTTGGTGTATCATGATGTAACCCTAACGTCCTGCTCATAACAGAAGCTGGAAAGGTCCCACTTGGAGCAAGTGCTTGGATGATAAAAAATAATCAATCCTTGGCTGAAGTTAAAACTTAGGTATTCCTATCATTTTAGCACCTCTGATTTTAATAGATAAACTAGCCTCTCAGGCTAGGCAAGAGCAGTGGAGGGAAAATAGTTCTCTCCTCTCTGTGAAACCCCAGCCAAGGCTGCCAAATTCTGTGCAGCCAGAAAAAAAGAGGACTTAAACCACTGCAGTCATTAGATTAGAAACTCCCACTTAATTGTAATCTGAATTCCATTCTGCTTTTGTTACATTATAAATATTTTGTAGTTCAGTCTTGCATATCTAACATGGCTGACCGATGGACATGATAATAATGATGAAGATAATACAACAACAAAAACATGTATGAAAAGATGGGGCCAACTTACGAAATTTTGTTTTAAAAAGGACAAGATGGCACCTCTTTCCTCCATTCTTTATACCAAAGCTGATCAGACTGGTAGCTGAATCTCACTTCAGCCGTTTTAAGAAGACAACATAGGATAGCAAAGTAACTTGGGAGTCAAGGGCATATGAATTCCCCAACGTCTTGCTACAACTTCGGCCATCCCCTAACAGGAAGGCTGGCTGTGTTCAGTTGGATCTCTCCCTCCTTAGGGTTGTGAGAGGTGGGTTCAAATACGTACCAAAGACCTGAAGTACTTGTCCAAGCATTACTCCATTCCCAATGATTAATACAACGTCTGATATGAAAAAAGAACTGTAGCGTTCCCCATTTATTAGGTCAATGGTTCATGTTTTGTTATGTAATGTAATGGTTCATGCATATTAATGTTGCTGAGAGGCGGAGCCAAGAGAGATGCTATAAGAGGTGGAGTCAGAGAGTCAGACAGTAAGAGAGGAATGTGAGAGGATAGGATAGAGCGTGGAGTTTGGGGAATTCTGAGGTGTGATGAGAGTTAGGAGTGTATTATCAGATAGAAGATTGTTGTTAATAATAAATTGATTTAAAGAAGACATCCATGAATCATTATCAATAACTGTAATCAATAAACAAAAGTTATATTTAAAAGACCTTGACGTGTGGACCTGAATCTTCTTGAAGCAATGGTGATTTAGTGATCACCTGATGGCAGCAGTGTAAAAGAGAGGATTGTTCGCCTTTGTGTGCTCTGAGTTTTGATGGTCAAGCATAGGGGCACGAGGGTGAATGTCACAAGGACACATCACACTTTTTTGGTGGCTGAAACTCCTTGAAAGCTATCCAGAATCCTATCAGTGTTCCCAAAAGGCTTGTGACAAGGAGCAAGGGAACGATGCCCAATTGGACACATGACTGAGATGCTCCCCGACATACAGTATTGTCAGTTAGCTACAATTAGCCACATCAAATTATGCAAACCTTACAGGAATACCAATAAGACTGTGGCTGGTTTAAGAGAAAACTCTGCCTGGAACTTTTTGCCTAGCAACAGTCTTAAGCCCCAGGATCATAATATATGGAACACTGAACAATATATTATATTGTGTGATTGCCAGACATGCTGTTACAAGAAACCCTCTTAAAAATAAAATCCTAGGCATCACTGGAAAATCCCTCTTAAAGAAAGAAAGAAAAAAGTGTTAAGCCTCTTCATAAGTTAAGAACACAAGCATTCCACTTCAGTATACAAAATTAAGCCCGTGCCTTTGCTTGCACAACCGTTCAGCATTAAAAAGCAGTAATAACACAAGGGTAACTTTTAACAAGAGTTTCACCACAGGAACTTCAATGCATCTCTATGAATGTGTGGATCTAATAATATGAAAATGTGGCACAATACAAATTTCTGGCACCACAGATTTGTCATTAATTTGCATTTGTCATTATCACAACTTAGCAGAAGGGACTTCCTCATATCTACTGCCCTTACACAACATATTTATTTTCTTCCTTATTGCTTAATAATAATAATCTTAGAACTCCCATCATTGGAAGGATCCAATGGATCACAGAGTCCAGCCCCTGTCAAGGAGGCACAGTGGGGAATTGAACTTCCAACATCTGGCTCTGCAGCCAGGAAACTAAACCCTATCCAGCAGTTCAGAAACTTTCTTTTCAGAAGTTCATCTGATTTGCTGATAACCCTTCTTGATGTAAGAGGCAAAGCTACCATCTACTTCTGGAACCAGAAATGTTCAAAGTCGACTTCATTTTTCCCCCCTGTGATAGCTGTATCTGTCTAAATATCCATTTCTTTATATGCACTGCAATTTGGGTCATCATTTTTTCCATACTATGTTCACCCTACTTCATAAAAACAAGTGTAGAAATGTTGTACAGCAACTCAGAAACACAATGTAGGACTGGAGACTGGTAAACTACAACTCACAAAATTCAACAAAAAAGGGGGGGCATAACTTTAACACTGTAGAACAAAATACTGGATGTAACTTTTTTAAGTAATTTATTTCAACTATGTTTCCAAAGCCTCCAAAAGTAGTTAGTTATTCCTGCAATCACAATACTGGACAGGAATTTTCCCCCATACCTCAAAGTAATGCAAATTTTTATTTGTAAAAGTAACAATAATTGTTTTTTTTTAAATCCATTAAAAAAGTAAATGCTACAAGCCACTGGTCTATGACACATAGACCCTTTACTTGCTGTTGCCTGAACACCCAGGGCTGAGTGCTCAATGAATATCTGAAAATTATTGCTCTTTCCAAGACAGTTCATGTCACAACTGCTTGCAAACCAGATTCACCAATGATTCAGCTGAAACAGCCAAGCACATTCTATCTGGAGTGCATATCTGAGATATGCAAAATAGGCAGGAGGAGAAAGCTGAAGCCATAAAAGTCACCGTGACCTCAGATTTTTGGCCTGTAGACGGAGAAACAGGCCAGAGTGCTCAATTAACACACTCTGCCGGAGGAGAAAGCTGAAGCCATAAAAGTCACTGTAACCTAAGATTTTGGCCTGTAGATGGAGAAGCAGGCTAGAGTGCTGGATTAACACACTCTGCTAGACAAAATATGGATGGAAGGTGAGTGGTTTGTTTAGCGGGTTTGGCTTGCAGTGGCAAGAATCAGTAGTTGTGCACCACTACACTATTCAACAACAATAAACCTGAGTCCACACACACCCTCCCACAACCCTGGCGTACAGCGGTGTGAAAACAGAGCTATGAGTATTGGAAGAACACATGAGAATGGCTAGAGTAGGCCATGTTAAAGACAGGATTGCGTTTTTAGTATTTCACGACAAGAGACGCTGTAAGCTGTTCCCTTGGAAAAAGCACTTCAGTTCCAGAAGAGCGGCTGGAGAGCAAAGGTCATGCACAGGAAGAAAGATGACAAACAACCAGCAGGAGTGCTTCTGATAAGTCATTGTACTGAGAACGTATCAGGAAGAGCCCAAGTATACAGAAACAGCAATATCAGCCTGGGAAGCAAGGAGGGCGGCACCTTTGGAATCCTAGTTTGTGGGGCTTTTTGTTTTGGTGTTTGGCCCATCAGGGGATGCATTTATTTATATAGAAATCAAGAGTCACACTGCGGGTGGTTTCACTGGAGGAAGACAAATCATAAGATACAAGCCTGAAAAGAGAGGTTTCTTTTCTTCAGCAAATACCCTTAGCAGTCAAATACATGCTAAAGAGCCTGTTCTGTTCTCTCAGACTGGAGGAAGCCACATGTAACCACTTTATGGGCACAAGACCATTCAGGGAATCCCCTAAATTAAGCTCCAATATTCCCTTAAAATCTGCTATAGGTCAGTTTAATATCCTCAAAGCATAAGAAGGTCTCCTTTGTTTTATCATAGCTGGCCTTGTGCTTAACCAACTGCAAAAAAGATTTACACCACCTTCCAGCTGTTCTGTTCAATAGTTTTCAAAGAGAGTTGGATGCTTTCCAGTTTATCCATTTATTCTGGATTTTAGGCTTGCTCTCTCGTTCCCTACTGACAGAAGAACGTAGGCATAATAGATACAGGATGTTAAATAGAGACAGGTGTTGTCCCAGAAAAAATACAGTGGGTGGATAGGAAGTAAGATTCGGCAAATGATTTTATTTGCAGGCTTCTGCGGAGGTGAGACATGTAAAAAAAATTTCCACTCATGCTGCAAGGGGGAACCAATGGCCAAATTCCTCTTGCATAGCTACACAAATGGTATAACATTTAGAGGCAAACTGCCCCAGGCTAAGAAATCACTGTAGACATTATCAGTAGCATCCTGAGTCATACAACTCAGTATGTGACTGATAATGTCTATGGAGATTTCTTAAGGCATTTTGCCTCCAAAAGTTAAGCTGTTTGTGTTTTGCAAGCATAATTAGACAAAGAGGATTTGGGCCACAGTTTATGCATTTCCCTAATACAGGGAACCACTTGGAAGAAACAGTTCTAAAGATACTCTCTACCCTCCACCAGACTGCTCCAAATGAGCCATCTATGTAAGCCCTATGTTTGATAGATATGAATTATGTTCATTTCTGTGAACACTTAAAAAAGCAATGCAGCAACTTACCTTCAATATCTCAGGCTCTCTGATGTCCAATGGTTCTATATGCAACGGCTTGTTCCAATGTGTATTGATCCTACTGTACCTGGCACTTGGTGTAAAAAGCCAAATTGCACAGACAGCTATCATAAATCCAATGGCAACTCCCAAGAAGAGTCCACTGAAGTAACTAGGGAGGGGGAGTATAAGGTAAGCATAGATCAGCAATGTGAGAACATATAATGTCTTCATTGGAAGTCTGGGCTGTTGCACATGAAGTTCAACTTCACCTTTGCTGCTGAAAGGTGTTGTAGAGCTTTCCCCAGGCATCTCCATTTTCTGAGGGTCTTCCAATGGTTTGTCAGGTTTGTCATCCTCTATCAAGCAGAAGTCCTCAGAGTACAGTTCACAGAACTCTTCATCTTCTTTGCTTGCCAAGGCAGACAGAGAACATCTTTCAAGTGCCAAGGATGCCTTTGAGGCGAAGTCCTTTGTGCTTAACAACGGGGAACTTCTACTTTCCACCTCTTTCGTATGCTCTTCAACGGTCTGGGGCAGTTTAGTGCTCTTGTTTAAACTGGAGTCACTTCCATAGAAGTCCCCTTCAGAATCACATTCTTCCTCTTTAATGCTATAGTTGTTATTGCTTTCCAAATGGCCGTTCAAGCTGGAAAGATTAGACAGTTCTGAAGCACTTGAAGATAAGGCTTTGGGCCTGTGGCTACTACTACTACTACTCTCGTCACCCATTATTTTGCTGAGGAGCTGGAAAGGTTCATAAATCACTTCCGAAAGGCGTCTTTTTGTGTCCTCAATTTTGGCCTCCATTTCAGGTACTTTAAAAAAGGAGCGAGTGTCTGAAGGAGACGTTAAGGGGGATGAGGGAGCCGTTTTGGAATCGCCACCTGTGCTCCGAGGCTGCGTGAACTGCTTGAACAGGTGCAAGTTCAGCTTAGAATCGGCTGGTTTGTGTGGCACAGTTTCAGGCTCCTGTTTGGAAGTATCTGTGGACAGAGACTTCACCAGGGATTTCATCAACTGTCTGTGTCTTGTGGGCGGAGTGGGCTCTTTTGGTTCAATGTCTGTCGAAAGGGACTTCACCAGACTCATGAAAGGCTTTGAGCTAGTAACGGTGGGTGATGTGCCAGACAAGCTGAAGGACTTGGAAGGGGAGGGCTGTGGAGAAGACGATACACCGGCTCTCAGTTCTGAAGGCAATGCCCCACCCGATGGGGCAGGGCTATGACATACATGAGGGGAGGAGGAGGACGACAACAACGGAGCTAATGGCACGACACCATACACTTGGGATTCTGATGGCTTAGCAGTTGGCGTGACTGGGGGACACAAGGTGAGTGGAGATGCAGCCATGTTAAGAGAGGTAGTGCAACCTGAAGAGTCATGGTCACCAAGATCAAAGCAGAGGTCTTCCTTAGCCTCCAGTGCAGTTACAATGCTCTGGTCGCCCAGTGCCTCAGAGGGAGACTCTTTGAACTCTTCTTCCTCCTCCTCTTCCTCCTTCCCAAACGCTGAGAAATGAATGGTGATGGTTTCTCGGGAAACAGATCGCTGAACCTGCACTTTTGGCGTCGGCTGCTTTGAAGACATGTCACCAGTTTTCTCTGCATGGCTAACGTTCAGACTTGTCATGGCAAGTCCCAGAGATGCGCCCAGGTCTGTGAAGAGGAAGCCAAACATACATTAGACTGAGGAAGGAGGAGGAGGACGATCACTTCAGAAGCATCTGAATGCCACACACAAAAATAAATGTGTATCTACCTCAGCTAACCTAGCCTGATGAAATTACAAACAGCTGATATACCTCACGCTTCAGCGTTTGGAAAAATAAGACTAGAAAATATGGAGAGCATTAGCAAAGATAACAACGGCTCTTCTTTTTACAACCAAAGCAGCGACCTCTTCTCTCACCACTTCTGCATCCCGTGGAAAGCTTCTTTTCTACTGCTTAATAGGGGAGAGGGGTGAGAAAGAGGCAAAAGGCACGGATCAGACTTATGAATAGCTGTCATGAGGGGAAAAAGACGTTACAAAGCACAGGTACTCATAAAAGCATCTCTGGAGTGGGGGGGGGGAATGGTTGTCCAGAGATACCATTCTGAAGTAGCAGGAAGAAACATGGAGTGAGTCCGTATGTAAGTGCGCACACATGGAAGAAGCGAGGTGCCTCTGTCACCAAGAAAGAGGCAAAAGGCACGGATCAGACTTGTGAATAGCTGTCATGAGGGGGAAAAGACGTTACAAAGCACATGTACTCATAAAAGCATCTCTGGAGTGGGGGGGGGGAATGGGTGTCCAGGGATACCATTCTGAAGTAGCAGGAAGAAACATGAAGTGAGTCTGTATGTAAGTGCGCACACATGGAAGAAGCGAGGTGCCTCTGTCACCACTGCTAAAGTTAAACTGGCATGCAGGTTTCGTTTGGTTTTTTAATTTGTAAGATTTACACACAGACACGCTCTGAAGAGCCAATGGTTTAGATTCAGGGAACCACAAGGGGGGAAGGGATCAGATAGGGTATGTACAACACATGAAGGCACAAGTCTTTGGCTCAAGCTCTGCACAAGACTAGGCTTCCAAACCCTGATTTCATGAGCGGCACTGGACCTCTCCATCACTCCTTGTGCAGACAAATGGCACTGCTTGTAGTCAAGGGAGGAAGGGGCAAAAAGTAAGCTGAACTGGAACAGCTCATGGGTCTGTGCTCCACAGGGAGTAAAACATTTTGCACAGCTGTTTTCACAGATGTGAAAGTTCTACCAGGAACCACATTAATAAGCACACTGTAAACACTGGCCACGTGACCACGGAGAATTGTCTGTGGGTTGGAAACAGAAATGAGCACCACCGCCTAGAGTCCGACACAACTGGGCAAATTGTCAAGGGGAACTTTTACCTTTTTAAACAATGAGAGTTATGAGATGAAGGAGGGAGCAATGGCTATAGCAGGGGACAGACCAATTTGACAAGTTACAGCCAATCAAGATAATTACTGTGACGGTAAAGTGCACTTTATCATCACCAAGAATAGCAAGGAGAGACAAGAGGGCCTTCTTAAATGAACAGCGAAAAGATATAAGGAAAAATACAATGGTGCCTCGCACAACGGGCGCCTCGTAGAGCGATGAATTCGCTGTACGAGGGCGGTTTTGCGATTGCAAATGCGATCGCAAAACGGTGCCCGCATAGGGCGAAAATCGCAGAGCGAAGGTCGGTAAGCGGTTCGCTTCGCTTTGCGACCCGCCGATCAGCTGTTCGGTGGCTACAAAATGGCCGCCGGATGCCCCAAAATGGCCACGCGCAGCGTTTTCGTGCCCTCGTAAAGCGAGGGGAGGGCGCAAAAATGGCTGCCGGACATAGAGAGCATCGTTGAACTGTGAGTATTCGGCCCAATTGGAACGCATTAAACCATGTTTAATGTGTTCCAATGGGTTTTTACATTCCATTCAACAATGCTTTCACACAGCGAGGGTTAATCCGGAACGGATTAACCTCGCTGTGCGAGGCACCACTGTAATAGAAAGGGAAAAACCAGAGATTTGTTCAAGAACATTGGAGATATAAAAGGAACATTTTGTGCAAAAATGCGCTGGATTATGGAGAAAGCCAGAAAGTTCCAGAAAAATATCTACTTCTGCTTCATTGACTATGCCTTTGACTGTGTGGACCACAACAAACTATGGCAAGTACTTAAAGAAATGGGAGTGTCTGACCACCTTATCTATCTCCAGAGAAATCTATATGTGGGACAGGAAGCAAAAGTTAGAAAAGGATATGGAACAACTGATTGGTTCAAAATTGGGAAAGGCTGTATATTGTCTACCTGCTTATTTAACTTGTATGCAGAATACATCATGCAAAAGGCAGGACTGGATGAATCCTAAACCAGAATTAAGATTATCTGAAGAAATGTTGTACGCCGCCCAGAAGCCACTGGTAATGGTGCAGCTAAAAAATATTGTAAATAAATAAATAAATAAAATAAATATCAACAACCTCAGATATGCAGATGATACCACTCTGATGGCAGAAAGTGAGGAGGAATTAAAGAACTTCTTAATGAGGAGAGTGCAAAAAATGGTCTGAAGCTCAATATCAAAAAACTAAGATCACAGCCACTGGTCCCATCACCTCCTGGCAAATAGAAGGGGAAGATATGGAGGCAGTGACAGATTTTTCTTTCTTGGCCTCCATGATCATTGCAGATGGAGACAGCAGCCACAAAATTAAAATATGCCTGCTTCTTGGGAGGAAAGCAATGACAAACCTAGACAGCATCTTAAAAAGCAGAGACATCACCTTGCCAACAAAAGTCCAAATAGTCAAAGCTATGGTTTTTCCAGCAGTGATGTATGGAAGTGAGAACTGGACCATAAAGAAGGCTGACTGCCGAAGAACTGATGCTTTTCAATTGTGGTGCTGGAGGAGGCTCTTGAGAATCCCCTGGACTGCAAGGAGGACAAACCTATCAATTCTAAAGGAAATCAATCCTGAGTGCTCACTGGAAGAACAGATCCTGAAGCTGAGGCTCCAGTACTTTGGCTATCTCATGAGCAGAGAAGACTCCCTGGAAAAGACCCTGATGTTGGGAAAGTGTGAAGGCAAGAGGAGAAGGGGACGACAGAGGATGAGATGGCTGGACAGTGTCATCAAAGCTACCAACATGAATTTGACCAAACTCCAGGAGGCAGGGGAAGACAGGAGGGCCTGGCATGCTCTGGACTATGGGGTCACGAACAATCAAACACGACTTAACGACTAAACAACAACAAAGTGCACTCCTGTGGTTATAATGGCAAGCAATTAAGAGTATTAATGGGCAAGAATAGGGTTTCATAAATTATCCTCAGCCTGTCCAACATAATAACTCTCTCCTAAATAACAATGATTTGGTGGCCTTTGTATGTTCTGATGTGCAGAATATGCTTGCAAACACTTCTGCAATTGAAAGCACTGGGAGGTTATCAAAACATAAACTACTTATCAGAGTCAAGTAGGCAGTAGAGCACTGTGTACTCCACTATTCAAGATAACAGATAATCACTCCAGGATGCTTATCGTTTTGCCAAAGAAAACTTCAAATTATACCGCAGTACCAAATGTTCTTCAGCTCGAAAGGGTTTATTATGCATTTTACATCAGCCTATCTAGCGAATACCAGAAATGTTCCTTAAAATTTCCTTCATCTTCTAGAAAGCTTGGGACTCCATAGGAGGCTCAGAAGTCTTCTATGAAGGGTTAGGCCATCTTCATGGTGGCACTGACTTTGTGAAACCAGCTCCCATTGGAAATACACTCGGACCCTTCCCTGCTAACCTTTAGAAGGCAGCTCAAAACATTGCTATTTAAGATGGCCTTACACAATGGCCCTCTTGCCCTGCTCTCACAGAGGTAATATACTTTTGGTGCCATTGGTTTTAATTTTTCGGTTGTTCTAACTCCTTTCACACTTCATTTATACATTTCTTGTTATATGTCTTCATTTTATTATGGAATGAATTGCCCAGAATAGTGCATTTCACTAATGGGGTGGTAAACAGGCAAGCAAGCTGGGGGTCCCACATACCATCTCAGCACTGGCTCCCTTGCAGTCTTGGCCAGCTTCCCACAATATTGCTCCTGCCAGGGGGGGGGGGGAGGGAGGAGTGCTTCCTTTAAAAGCCATGTGTGTATGTGTGTAAAATTAATTTGCACCACCAAACACCAGTGGCTGAAACTCTGCATCAGTTAAGGATCTGGGTAACTCTGAGTCTGTTTCAAAGATGGAAAATAATTTTTTAAAACCCCCTGCATATTAAGATTTATACCAAATATTATGGACTGCCACTGAAGTAACAACTACTGAGTCTATCTCAACGCTGAGCCCTCACTCTTTGTTTACAAGCTGACTTTCCCATTAGCTAGATTTTCCCTCTGGTCAGTGCCCATGTGCAGCTGTATATTTTTCAGTGGTTCGTTTGTTTCAAAATCCACTTTCCGAATGTGAGTTTAGTTTCTATCTCTGCCTGAGGTTTGCTTTAGGCACACAAGAGCACAGCAAGAGCTACAACACATGCAGGATTTCCTTCCTTAGAATGACACTATGGGGTAGGGTTTAGGGGTAAGCTCCTTTTGCTGCTCTCTTGTTTCAGCTCCGGCTGATAATTAATAAACTGCACTAAATGCTAACTTAAATAAATGGGTAGCTCAACATTTATCTTCTCTTTGCAGAGGTGCTTAATTAAATTACTTTGATACTCCTACTCTCGTTACTTACACCTACTCTCTACACTGTCACTGGCGGGGGTTTGGGTGGGTACCCTAACAAGTACACACTAATAAGTTGAGTATTCAGTTTGCTGCTGATTTCAAGGTTACCAAACAATGCCCTATTTGGCCCCCACTGGAAACAGAATATCAAATGCCTGGCCTCGCTCTAAATCAGGAACCTCCTCTTGATGCAATGGTGAAGCTTGCACCGTAATATGAGAATTGTGCCCAGCCATATATTCTCCTGTAGAGGCCAGATCTTTATCTGCTGAGCTTTTATTCGAAGAGCGATCCAGTGAGCCCAAAAGTGGATGTAAGATTAAAACAAACAAACAAGCCAAAAGGGACACTGAGGCACCTTCCTTTTTGGTGATAAGTACAAGCAGTCATCCTAGTAAGAAAGCCTTCT